CTCTGTTGCCTAGGTTAGAGTGTAAGAGCTTCACCATACTTCACAGCAACCTCATACTCTTGGGGTCAAGTGATCATCTTGCCCCTACCTCCTGAGTAGCTGGGACTACAGGCACCTGCCACCATGCCTGGTTAATTTTTGTCTCTTTTTGTAGAGACAGGTTCTTAGTCTTGCCCAGGCTGGTTTCAAACTCCTGGCCTCAGCCTCCCAAAGTGCTGGGATTACAGGCCTGAGCCCCCTTGGCCAGCCGTGCTTCTCTCTCTTATAACTTTTATGACATATTAGCTGATTCCACAGGATTTCTTCTGCCGCGTGCCCATTTTAATAACATCTAACAAACTTTCAGGCCCTGATAGGCAAAGCCAAGAGAATGCTTCTTTGTTTGCTTTGAAATTGAAAGCCCCCAGGGCCTCCCCTAAAGCATTTCCGACTCTAGCTACTAGGCTTTTGCACCTTTGTCCGTAAGAGGTCTAAGGGCGACATCCTTTCTGCTGCTTTGGAAGAACTCTCTTTAGGATATGCTCAAAGTGTTTCTTTCTGTCTTCTTTTTTTTGAGACTGAGTCTCACTCTGGGTAGAGTTCGTGATGGCATCACAGCTCACAGCAACCTCCAACTCTTGTGTTCAATTGCTCCTCCTGTCTGAGTTTCCCAGGTAGCTGAGACTACAGGTGCCCACCACAACATGGGGATAGTTTTTCTATTTTTTTGTAGAGATAGGGTCTTACTCTCGCTCAGGCTGGTCTCCAACTCCTGAGCTCAGGGGATACACCCACCTTGCCCTCCCAGAGTGCTGGGATTACAGGCACAAGCCATCATGCCAGCCTTCAAAGCTTTTCCTTCAAAGCATCAAGAGACCAAACCTAGATGGGGCGGTGCTGGCAAGTGACTTTATTTCCAGCTAAGTTCCCTCCAAGCCGGCCTGTTTGATGTGTTTGGTCTCAGTGACCCCCTACTGCTTTCTCTTTCCATTTCCCTTTAAATAAGCCCCATTTCACAAATGCTTATTCAGGGCCACAAAGCAGGCAGTAGCTACATTCTGGGGAGACAGAGGTGTGGAAGATCCAGTTTGTCCTCAAGAAACTCAGAGGGGGAGAGAACGCTGTTACCCGGGCAGAGAGATGAGGTATGGATTTGTGGACAGTGAGAAAGGCACACGAAAGAAAATACGGCTTGGGGTGAGGCCAGGGAAGGCTTCCCAGAAGAGGCGGGCAGGAGCCTTGAAGGGTGAGTGGGAGACGCTGGGAAGAGCACATACAAGGGGTGTGTCCCCTCTTCCTTCCTTTCCGTTGTCTCTGGTCAGGACACCTGCCCAGGAAGTGCCTTCTCCCACCCTATCCCCCACTGCAGACCCCAACAGCCTGCCCTGGCTTATTCGCAATCAAGCCATTGCCCAGAGGAGACTTACTTTGTTCTCAGCCTCTGAGAGGACAATGTCTTGCTGAGTCACAATCTCCATAGGACTGGTGGGAAACAGCTCCTCTTCTGAGTTTGCCTCTGCACTGCCTGCCTTCTTCATGGGAATGATGCTGGGTGGCCGCTGCCCGAACTTGATATTCTTGCCCAACTGTTGCTGGAGAGAAACAGAAGGAAGACGTTCTGGAGCAGTGAAGCAGTTCACAGCCACCACAACCAGGTTCCCCAGCATAGCTCGGGAGCACTGAGGCATGCTCCGTGCACAGCTGAGTCCTACACTCAGCACCAGGCCAGGAAGCCACGAAGCTGGCCTGTCATAAGTTGACTCATTTTCCACCTTCTTTTCTTTTTCTTCCCACCTTCAAGCCATGAGTTCTTTTGTCCAGCCACGTCTTTGATGGAGATGTCAACATTTTCCGGTGGGTACAGAGACCACATTTCTCTTGAACCAAATGTTGGGATGTATGTTACAACTTTTTTTTTTCCTTATTAACCTATGTACATTTATTTATATGAAAAGTGTTTAGAAAGTACAAAAATATATAGAGAGAAAATAGTTGCATGAACTGTAGGCCCCGTTGGAGGAAAAATCAAGATCCTACGTTTAGTGCAACAAGGGAACTCTCTAGCCCCCTCTGGACACGCTTCCCTTGAATAGTTACACTTCCACAACCTTCCTCACCAGTCTTAGTTTGAGACCCCACATCAGAACATTGGGGTCTGCCACAGTGGGTCATTGCCAAAGTGAAGTAGGTCCCAGGACCAGCAGATCTTTCCATAATTAATGCTGAAATCATGTAACGGAGGGAAATAATCTGAATTTCTCTTTGCCTTGCTGCAGCTACCCGACAGTGAACCAGGGGAGCCAAGGCACCAACTGGCAAAAAGGGCCAGGAAGGGACTGACTAATGGTGGGTGGTAGCTAAGAGGAGAGGACAAGGGAGGAGAAACTAGGGCAGAAATTAGAAAGATAAATAGTATTCAGAATTAGAGAAATGCCAGATTAGACAAGAAAGAAAAGTCTCCCCCCATGTCCCCTGCAGGCAGGGTGGGGGTGGGGGGTAAAACTGCCCCAGGTGGGAACCACTGCTCTAGATTTAGGGTTTTATAATTCCTATATGTTTCAAAAAATGCATTCTCTGAAAGTTGTCTTTAATTTGGCTAATATTTAATCACACAGTGCTGCAAAGAGCCTCAGCAATCACCTGCTCCAAAGCCCTCTTTGCAAAAAAGACTCAGAGGTCCAGTGGGGAGAGGGGACTGACCCAAACTTATAAAAAGAGTGAGTGGCCCAAAAGGAATTTGAACTCAGGTCCTCTAAAATCACATTCAGTGTTATTTTCATCACACTCCACTGGTTCTCGGACATTTGACATTACACTTCCTTCTTACAGGGGCAGAAATGAAGAAAGGAAGCCGCGTTCTGAACACCTCACTCCAGTTCCCAGGTGGAAGAATCCCTTCAGGGAAATGCCGCCTCTCCCTTTGAAGTCCACCCTCTCCCTTTGAAGTCCACTGTACCAAATCCACCCCCTGGCCCCGCTCCCCCCAGCCTTGCAGTGTGGGCAGGGAGACTGCAGAGACAGGACAGAGATGAGCCGAGCAGCCCCCACCCGCCCCTGGGGACCCCAGCATGCCAAGTCGGGCGCAGAGCAAGGCAAGGGCTTCTGTGGGGTCTGCTGGTATTTCAGCCCAGCCTGGCTTCCCCGGCCCCACAGGGAAGGAGCCATCACAAGCTGGAGTTCAGCCAGGGAAGTACAGCTTCGGCAGCCTAAAGGGGTTGCGGGGAGGAGAAGGCTGCAGAAGGGTGTCTTCTGAAAACAAGTCCAGCAGGAAGCAGCAATTCTCTAGTCTATGCACACCAGACAGCAGGCACCAGGAGAACAGGCGATGGATGGAGCCAGACAAGACGCGGAAGAACAAGGTCACAGGCCGAGTCATCTGCAGCCTCGGGGAGAGAGGGGTGGGAACCTGGGCAGAAGGGTAGGAAGGGGCTTCTCCAGGAGTGTTGGCCAAGCGCTGGAAATTGTTCTGAATCCCCTGCGTCTGAGACCTGTTGACAAGGCCTGCCCTTTATCAATGCTCCCAGATTACAGAGGGCATTTCTTTTGCCAATGATGGAAAGGATAATTCCCCAATGAACTTCCTACCTGGCTTTACGCTCTAAGACCATTTACCTAGGATTTTTTCACAATGGGGGCAAAAAAATAAAAAGGAGGGGGCAGCGCCTGTGGCTTAAAGGAGTAGGGTGCTGACCCCATATGCCGGAGGTGGTGGGTTCAAACCCAGCCCCGGTCAAAACCTGCAAATAAATAAATAAATAAAAATAAGAAGAAGGGACATGCTGATATTTTATTTCATTCAGGCTCTTTATAGAATCGTGTTGTTGGTCCATCCTGATGCTTAAGCCACATAAAAGAATCTGGCAAAATGTAATCACAGTCTAGATTAAAATTAAGTCCAAAGATGGGGTGACTCGTGACTATAAATGGAAAAGAAAAGAAAATGTGGAAAGAGAAAAAATAGATGGAATAAAAACAGAAAAAAATAAAGTAGGTACCTAGGGCAAAACCTGGAAATCGAAAGTTGGGAAATTAAGTAGAGAATTAAAGAAAAGAGACAAATTGAGTGGAAGGTGCAGGGCAGGGAGGAAATGCACTGGGATGAGGAGGCGGTGGGCCCAGGAAGAGCTGTGGTTCAGGCCTATGATCCTAGCACTCTGAGAGGTCAAGACGGGCGGATCTCCTGAGCTCAGGAGTTCGAGACCAGCCTGAGCAAGAGTGAGATCCCATCTCTACTAAAAATAGAAAAACTAGCTAGGCATTGTGGTGGGCTCCTATGCCTACTCAGGAGGCTGCGGATCACTTGAGCCCAAGGGTTTGAGGTTGCTGTGAGCTGTGATACCACAGCACTCTATGGTGGGCAACAAAGTGAAAATCTGTCTCAAAAAATAGAAAAAAGATCACTTGAAAGCTCCCCTAACAAAGTCCAACCACAGTCCTCAGAGAAAATAAATTCTGGCTGGTGTCTGGGGAATTTGGGTGAGGGAGGGGAATGGTGGCCATGGTTAGGAGTAGGGCTGGATCTCTATCTGGACAAAGGACTGTCTCACAGACACGCCCTGCAGGTGTCAGGAGGAGCCTGCGAACTAGGGCCAGAGCAGGACTCAGGGTCCAAGGGCTCAGTGACTGATCCTCAGGCACTCAAGGACAGGGCCTCTGGGGACAAGGCCTTGCACCTACTGGCTCTCCCTGAGGTTCCTCCTATGAAGCTTCCTTCAGCTGAACTCGAAGGAGACTGCGCCCTTGTGACATTTTGTGCAATTTCTGGACAGTTAACAGGTTACTGCTAAAACCTATCTGCCAATCTCCAGCGTCCTGGAAATTGAATATGTAGATAAATGTGGCTTTTGTTACTTTCATTCTCCTCACTATTCGGTCATTGTCATGAGAGGAACTATGATATAAGCAATCACTGAAAATCACAGTTTTCTTTTTCTGAGACAGACTCTCACTCTGTTGCCCTGGGTAGGGTGCTGTGGCATCATAGCTCACAGCAACCTCAAATTCTTGGGTTCAAGCAATCCTCTTGCCTCAGCTTCCCAAGTAGCTGGGACTACAAGCACCTACTATAAGACCAGGATAGTTTTTCTATTTTCAGTAAAGACGGGTCTTGCTCTTACCCAGGCTGGTCTCAAACTCCTGAGCTCAGGCAATCCTCCTGCCTCAGCCTCTCAAGAATGTTGGGATTACAGGTGTGAGCCATTGCATCCAGCCTGACTGTTAAGATAAGCTAGCCCTTCAGTTTTCAGAGAGAGAAACTACCACTTATATATATATATATAAAAAATCTGTGGTTTCTTTCTTTATATCCTCTGCAATTATAACCAGAGGGGTGAGGGGAAACTCGTGCCTGTACTGACACGCCATGTTGCAATTCTCTATGAATAGAGTTACTGTTAAGTCTGGAATGTGCGCTAAAAGGAACTATATTTTACTCATTCAAATAGGACCATTTTGTTGTAATATGGAATGCAGGAGAACATGTCACAGGAATGCACATCCATATTTATAAGACTTGGTCCCGTGCTGTGGATGCCACACTCGCCACATTCTGCAGCTCTCACTGACAATGTCTAGATTCCCCAGATTTTTCACAGCCCTTCTTGAGACTATGTCTGTAAGAGCAAAGCAGAAATAAAAATAAAGTTGCTGTCTTCTTGAGCAAACGACAAAGATACTTTCATCATTAAAATGAACTTTAAAAGAAAAAAGAAAAAAATACAGATGGAAAGACATTTGCTCTAGGAAGAAGTGGCTAAGAGCAGGCGTTTATTCTTTGTGACCTTGACAGCTGCATTGGGTGTCAAAAATCCTCAAATGTAGGGTTTTGGCATTTTAAACTGCAATCCAGCTGAGCAGGAGAGGGGAGCTACCGAGCAGAGAGATTTTCCCTCCTGACATAGAGAGGAAGCATTTCCTGATGAAGGTGTGGGGTAAGTCTAAAGATTACTGCACATAGACTGTGGGAGCCCGGAGTTTTGCCATCAGTTGGTACATACCCCAACAGGTTGGTCTGACCTCAAACCAACAGGCACCCTCCCTAATCTACAGTCTGCCAGCTGTAGGTCATGTCAAGGTCATTGTAGCCCAAAAGCAGAGAGGTACAAAACTTATGAGGCCTCTCGGGGCTACAGCAGTGAACGGTGACTCTGTATAGAGGGCAATGTTCAGAACTGGAGGGGCCCTTCAGATCACCTACCACACGTGCCCCCCTTACTTTTCAGGAGGGGAGTGTCAGTTTAAATGGCTTCACCAAGGCCACACTGCCAGGTGGTGGCAGCTTTTTATTTCGTCACATTCCCTCATTCATCCAAGTGAGATTCACCCTACCAGCCAGGAAGCAACCTGACTTGTTCCGGGTCCTCAACAGGACACCACGGTTGATTTTGTCCTGGTAACTGTCCTGTATATTAAAAAATTTGTTTTCACTATGCACGCGTATTATTTTTATACTCAGAAAAAAATATGTAACTTTTCATTTGAAAGCGTCAAAATTTTGCCACAGAAATTGCGCCAGGTGGTAGATTTACTAATTCAGGGAAGAGGAGGCCGATGGACGGTGTATTCAGTTACTCCCAACTCGGTGGTGCAATTCGGGACCGTTCTCAGTGAGATGACCATGTGTCAACACTAGAGGGCAACCTTTCCAAACGCAGTCATTACACTGGCTCTTCGTGGGGCTCCAGGGGCTCCAAGGGCTGGGAGTTTCCTAAGCCGCAGAGAAACATGTTTTGTTTTGTTTTTTTAAATGGCATTCCAGTAGAAATCTCATTTCAAAAGCATGTCTAATAATGGTGGCTCGTCAGCCTGCCCGCAAATGTTCTGTCAACTAGGTGTTATCCCTTACAACCCTCTGTTTAAAAATAAACATACACACAGTACACAAAGACAGTTCCAGACATGAAAACATACATGCCTTTGACAAAATTAAACTCTCTCATTCCATGCTGGCGTCTACAAGGGGGCGGTCTTTTAGGCTGCTTACTAAGCATCAATACCAGCATAACGTTGTCATGGAAAAATGCAAAGCTTTCATGCAAGTTAATAAAGTTACTGCTATTTCTGACTTACCAGGAACATACTGCTTAGTCGACTGAAAAATAAAGCACAGTCTTTTGGGGGTGATACAGTTATATCTTAGGTCACTCCAAAAATCACATTTTCTATGCTAACGGTCCCCGCTTCCCTCCTTGAGGAGCAAACAAAGCCTTCTTTTATTTTCAAAAACATAACCATAAAGCTGAAAGGACACTTGTGACTCCACGCAGCAGGAGCAAAATTAGGCAGACCTCGTATGAGCAGATATTGCCAAAAAGAGAGCACACCAATTAGTTACTGCTTTATTCACGTTTTACTTTTTGTGTTTATAGAATGGTCGCTAGTCTTTTGGCATTTTAGTAATTATCAGATCAGACTCTTGAAAATCCTGTCTTACCATTAACAGGTACTCTCATATTTTTATTAAGTTTCTATAACTCTAACACTGCAAAATTATATAGTATATTTTTTTACAACTCTAAATCTATTCCTTGGAGTGGCAGTGGCATCTGCTGCGATATTTCAGAGCAGATACCATTTAAGACAAGTTATCTAAATTTTAAAGGACCCTAGAAAGCTCTCATAAAAGACAGCTCTTATGTGGACTGAAATCTGTCAATTATTCCCCCTAGAAACAGGATATGTCGGGCTAGGGGTTGAGAATTTCTAGAAATAATATTCCAGGAATCAAAAGGCTTGGAAAAGGAGGAGGGTCAAAGCGTTCTTTGGCCATCACCATCCTCCCCTCTTCTCCAGTCGAGAAATGACAGCTCACTTTTCCTTCTGCGTCTATAAAAAGGATTCCAAGCACAGTCAGACAGAACCCAGAGTGGAGCCTGCTTAGGAGACGTTAGGATTGGAAGGATGGGCCTGGGTGGGCTCTGAGGGCAAGGCCGTGGCCTGGGGCAGTGGTGGCAGCAGCCAGACAAGGTGGGCGTGGTGCCAGGGTGTTGGCTACTTTCCGTTTACCATATGGTACTCTCAGCTGAGGGTGTGTGGAATATACAACCAAACACATTTCCACAAAACGTCACAAAATACCCAGGAACAAAGACATCTCAAGAAGATAAGAGAATTTTCTTTTGAGTACACTGCTTCATCGTATCAGTGAGGCCAGCTGTTCCTTTTCTCTTTCTGCTCGATCTTTCAGTCATTTAATGATTCATGGTTACAGACTTACAGATGGATAGGAACTGGCAGCCCAAGAGCCTCCCAGAGGTGCTTGCCTGGGCATGGTTCTAGGGTCAGAGAATGCCACCCCGCAACTGGTCAAACCTACAGGGCAGACCCCAGGTGTCTCTGCTCTTCTTGCTTTTCCTGGATTGCAAATTTTCTTTCTTTTTTTCAAGACAGGGTCTCGCTATGTTGCCCAGGTTGATCTAGTTTCACACTGCTGGGCTCAAGCTATTCTCCTACCTCAGCCTCCTGAGTAGCCAGGATTACTGGTACTTGCCACTGACCCTGGCTGATTCCCAGTTATTTCAACCACATCTGGGGAAGAATTATTTACTATCTTTTCATGGTTAAGGACTTACTACTGGAGTCAATATTCAGCAGGAAAACTGCCCCAGTCGTGCAGAGAGGACAGGAGGCAGCTTTAAGAGTTTGGTGGTCCTCTGAGACAAGATGACTCGGGGAACCCAGGTTTACGGACAGTAGAGAAATAGTCTCACCATTCACCGTCCAATTACGGAGACGTAGGAAGGGAGTAAGTGCAGTGTGTACTTTCAATTGACAGCCAGCCCCGACTCAGGGACTCTGAGTAATACTTAACGGTCTGAAAACTCTCTTCCCGTCCAAGTCCTGTAGCTTCTCTTGGGGAACTGTTTGTTCTCATGTCCATAAGTGAGGGAACAATTTGAGGAAAAAGGAGAGGGTGTGTCACGCAGATGGGTAATGGCGACAATGTACCTCTCACAGGCGGACAGGAAGCTTCCAGAGAACTGAGTCAGTTTCAAGAAAGCAAAAATTCTCATCAGGAGTGACCCCTGACTTCCTAGTGCAGGAGTCCTCAAACTACGGCCCACGGGCCACATGCAGCCTGCCTAGGACATTTATCCGGCCTGCCAGGTGTTTTTGCCGGCACTGCCTGTCCTGCTTAGCAGCCAACTCGTCCCGGAGCCCACAGTCCGTCCCTCCAATGGTCTAAGGGACAGTGAACTGGCCCCTTGTTTTAAAAGTTCCAGGACCCCTGTCCTAGTGCATTGCTCAAGGCCAAAACTAGGGATTGGTCCCGGTCCCCTCCACAGCCGGGCCCCTGCTATGGCTCTGACCTTCCAGTCTCCAGCTGTCTTACCTGAAGAGTTTTGACTTTGCCCAGGAGGTTGTCCTGTGACATTGCTTGAACTGTCTGCTCACTTTCTGCTCCCCCATCAGGGATAAAAATACTGTCATGAGAAAACGCCCGGGTTCCCATAGAATAGTTGAAGGACCTGGAATGCAAATCACGTGCTTCATTTTATTAGGATGATAAAATTTCTTTTGGCAATTCAGCTGTCTGCTGTTACTGACTTGAGGGACTCCACCCACATGCCCCATCTCATTCAGCAAGCACTTCCAGCATTGTGTCCCTTTCCGCAGGCGGTAGGAGGGGGAGGTGGTCAGCTAAGAAGCTGGGTAGACAGAAGGGACCCACAGGAATAGGGGAGCATGCCTCGTACACATTCCCGGTTCCAAGCCCCTCATGGAGGGACCCCAAGATAGTTATGTATTTGGGTTTTGTTTGTTTGTTTGTTTGTTTTGAGACAGAGCCTCAAGCTGTGGCCCTGGGTAGAGTGCTATGGCATCACAGCTCATAGCAACCTCCAACTCCTGGGCTCAAGCGATTCGCCTGCCTCTGTCTCCTAAATAGCTGGGACTATAGGCACCCACCACAACACCCGGCTATTTTTTGGTTGCAGCCGTCATTGCTGTTTGGCAAGCCCAGGCTGGATTCGAACCCGCCAGCTCAGGTGTAAGCTGGTGCCTTAGCCGCTTGAGCCACAGGTGCCAAGCCTATGTGTTTGTATAGGATCCAGAACAGAAGGCACAGGAGAACGTTCCCTTGGAGCAGCCTTTCTCCAGCCGAGCTGTCACTATCAGTTTTGTCCCAGTAAGTCTCACCAACCAGCACTGATTAAGTAACACTCAAATCTGGAAGAAGCCGAGAACATCTCTCTTTTAAAATACAGCCAAATTGGAAGAAAGCTACACACATCTGAAACAAAGGCTTTCGAAGTGTACTAAAATTGTTGATAGGGACTAAAAATGCTTTAGAAGTTCAGAGAAAAGGAGAGAAATTTGTGTTAGGGCCATCTGGACAAGCTTTGTGTACACTGAACACCTTAAAAGTGGCTGGTACCTAACAAAACACATTTCGCAGTTGGGAAGTTAGACTTCAAGGAAGTCTGACTTCCGCCAGGTGGGGAGGTATGAGCAACCTGAAATGCAGGAGGAAGCAGCAGAAGGCAACTGTTTCTTACTTGATCTTGGAAACTAACTCATGTCTGGGAAAGAATGCAGGTCCAGGCCGCCAGCTTCTCACAGGTGGCAGGAAGAGGGGCAGGCACGTTTCCATGATGGGCAACAGGTTGAGAGCTGAGGGCTGAGGCCACCACTTCTCCCTTCCCCGTCCCAGAAAGGGGTTCCAGCTGGAGGTTTTACTCACTGATCAGAACCCAGGAGAGTACAGCCAGCGGGGGGATAGGTGCTTCTGAGAGGCTTCTCAACTGAGCTACAGATGTAACGGGCAGAGTCCCAGGGTGGCTGCTCCTGTTTCTGCCCAAGTCCAGACCTCGCTGAGATGTTACCAGATTATATTATCTCATTCACTAAATTACAGGCAACATGGTAAAAAAGGTATAAAGGTTGAAAACAGAAGACTTGGATGTGAGCCTCCTGGCTGCGGGATCTTAGGCAATACAAATTATTATTACAGCCACCAGCCCTTATCTTGATGAAGACGCTCTGTGGGGAGTTTTATTTTCATTATCTCATTTAATCGTCATCACTGCCACCTTGTTACCAATGAAATGTGGGGGTAAATAACCTCACCTAACGTTAACCAGATTGCAGAGTGAGAAACTGAACTCAGTATCTGCGGAATACAAGCCCAGGCCAGCGAGTCGAGGTGTTTTTAAAGTGGCAGAAGGTCTTAGAGGATTACCACCACAAGTGACAAAGGATATGGGAGGTGGAGACAGGAATACAGGACAGTGGAAGATAGTAAACAGCCAGAATAACAGGTAACCCTTCAGCAAATGACAGAGGACACCATATAAGAGCAACTCACTGATGAAATATGAGTGGGTTTTTTTTTTTTGAGACAGAGCCTCAAGCTGTCCCCCTGAGTAGAATGCCATCGCATCACAGCTCACAGCAACCTTCAACTCCTGAGCTCAAGTGAGTTTCCTGCCTCCGCCTCCCAAGTAGCTGGGACCACAGGTGCCTGCCACAATGCCCAGCTATTTTTTGGTTGCAGCCGTTATTGTTGTTAGGCGGACCCAGGCTGGATTCGAACCCACCACCTTAGGTATATGTGGCTGGCACCTTAGCCACTTGAGCCACAGGCGCCGAGCCAAAATATGAGTGTCGTTTTAGGAAATATAAAGGGAAATTAACCATGTCATTATCTTCTTGTTCTCAGAGAATTTGAGACCTTCATTACAAACTGATCTAGGTTCACCTAAAAACGTCACCAGGCATATACTTTTCTCTCACAGTTAACAGAATCAAACCTTTTAATATTCTCTGTCTAAACTTCTCTTCTTTCAGACTCCTAGTTAGGATTCAGAGGAGAGAAGATGTAAGGGACTTCATTTCTATGCTGTTTTTGCATAGGGCTTATAAACATGCACAGGTTCTCAGATATTCACATAAACACAAACATGCCCACAGACGCGTCCATTTTAGTTGCTTGATAAATGTTTACTAATTGCTCACAGTTGTGTGTACAGAATAGACCAGCGCTAGGCTAAGTTCCACTCCAATTTCAAAGTCAATCTGGACTGACGCATGAAGTTCACGGCCCTGCTCCCATTATGTTTTCCATGTAGGCTAAGAATTGACATTCCCCTGTTCATCTGTGTTGCCCAAATGGTCCTTGAATTGATATCTACTCATCACCCACTGCCAAATGATCATGTTGAATATATCTTATTTATTTATTGTTTTGGCCGGGGCCAGGTTTGAACCTGCCACTTCCAGTATATGGGGCCAGCGCCCTACTCCTTGAGCCACAGGCACTGCCCCAGAATGATCATATTGAAAAAAGAGAGAAAACAAATAGTAATAATAGTAGTAGTAATAATTATAATAATTAGTCACTGTGATAACATTAGTTCTAGCTAAATTGGGGGGGCACTTTTGATATACCTTGCACATGTGCTAACCCCTTTAAGATAATATCTAAATCCTTTTTATAGATAATATTTAAACCTTATGTGGCGCACTTTTTTTTTTTTGAGACAGAGTCTCACTATGTTGACCTCATTAGAGTGCTGTGGCATCACGGCTCACAACAACCTCAAACTCTTGGGCTTAAGAGATTCTCTCGCCTCAGCCTCGCCTCAACCCCTGGCTAATTTTTTGTTGCAGTTGTCATTGATGTTTTAGCTGGCCCAGGCTGGGTTCGGACCCACCAGCCTTGGTGTATGTGGCCAGCGCCCTACCCACTATGGGTGCCACCCAATTTTAAAGCCTCTTTTATGCAAGGAAACTAAGGTTCAAAGACAGTGAGTAATCTGTCATAAATTAAGTGATTGTATATGAATGTGTTTCTAGCCCCTGTTTCTTTGGCCTACTTGTCTGTTTTTACAGCAATAAATCCACACTGTGTTAATTACTGTAGTATTTTAAGTCTCGATATCTAGTAGTTTAAGTTTTTCAGCTTTGGTTTTTGGGTATTTTTTTTTAGGGGGGCTATTTTCGTCTCTACATTTCTACATAAATTTACACACACACAATCCCTGCATTTCTACATAAATTTACACACACACAATCTCAGTGCACTTCTGAGATTACTTATGGGATGATGTTGGTTCTACAGATAAATTTAGGGTTACCATATTGAATCTCTTAATGTATATAACTCCTCATGTTTTTAGATCATTTTAAATTTCTCAACAGCGTTTTGTAGTTTTCTGTATAGCAGTCTTGCACATATTTTGATAAATTTATTCCTACATATTTAGTATTTCTGAGTTGACTGTAAATTGTATAGGTGACAATTTTTATTTTCTAATTTTTTGGTGTTAGAATATAAGCATACACCCAATTTTTAGGTACTGATTTTATAATCTGAGAATTTGCTAAGTTTATTTATTAATTATAGTAACAGGATTGCTGATTCTTTTGGATCTTCTATGCATACAATCAGGTTGTCTGCAAAAAAGATCATTTTATTTCTTCCTTGTCAATCCCACATTTCTTTTTTCTTTCCCTTTTTTATTCTGCCCCTCCCACTGAATTAGCTAGAGTTTTCATACAGAGTTAAGTAGAAAAGGTGACAGCAGGCCTTGTAATATTCCCTAATTCAGGGAAAACTCATTGAATATGTTACCATTAAGTATGATATTCGCTATAGAATTTTTTTTTTTTTTTTGCAGTTTTTGGCTGGGGCTGCGTTTGAACCCGCCACCTCCAGTATATGGGGCTGGTGCCCCACTCCTTGAGCCACAGGTGCCACACTTCGCTATAGAATTTTTGCAGATAAACTTGCCTTACTACTTCTTTGAAGACACATGGTGTGGCTCGGCACCCGCACAGTGATCAGGGCACCAGCCACATGCCTTGGGGCTGGTGGGTTTGAACCTGGCCCTGGGCCTGCTAAACAATGACAACAATAACAAAAAAATAGCCAGGCTTTGTGGCAGGCACCTGTAGTCCCAGCTACTGGGAGACTGAGGCAAGAGAATTACTTTAGCCCAAGAGTTTGAGGTTGCTGTGAGCTGTGATGTCCCAGCACTCTACAGAGGGTGACATAGTAAGACTCTGTCACAAAGAAAATAAAAAGACACATGATCTGTCTTTTATTTGTAGCTGATTAAAAAATGTATTTCTTATGACTAATTCTCACACAAATTGGATTTAATTTTGACCAAAGTACGTTACTTAAACATTAATGTTTAATTCAATTTGTTAATATGTTGTTTAGGATACTGCATCCTCATTTATAAGTGAAATATGTTTGTAATTTCTCCTTTATAATAATATTTTTTTCCAATTTCAATATCAAAAAAAAGTATCTCCTTATCTTTGGTTTTTAGTAGTTTTACTAGGTGTAAGCTTCTTTTTTTTTTCTTGGAGACAGTCTGGGTAGAGTGTTGTGACATCATGGTTCACAGCAACTTCAAACTGGCTTAAGAGATCCTTTTGCCTCAGCCTCCCAAGTAACTGGGACTACAGGTGCCTGCCACAACACCTGGCTATTTCCTAGTA